GTGATTCCATCATCACTTTATTGTTGTATACTACAGCCTCTCCTCACTTAGTGACGTTCTCGTTTACTGAAGCCTCAGACTTACAACGGGCTCTCTGACCAGTATTTATACCTAACTAATGTATATTAGAGCTGATTTCCTCTATTCTGTTAATTTCAATATACGGTACACTACTGTATAAACATTTAAAAATATACCAGAAATGTTATAAATAGTGCAAAGGTGGCATTAAAACAATGTCAAAGATGGTTGACACAAACCCACTACCATTATAACTTGCTCCTCACTTAGCGACGAATTCATTTGATGACGTTTTCTTAGGAACGGAGTCCATCATTAAGTGAGGAGAGGCTGTATATATTTTATAGCAAGAGTGTTTATGTAATATACCATGTAAATTTGTGATTTTTTGGGATAAAGAACAGATAATTTCTGATTCATGGTTTATATAGTTAAATGTAATGAAATAGTATGTGGGGGTTGTAATTTTTATTTGCACTATTTAATGTTTTGTTTATGATTATGGATAAATGTTGATGAATGGCCATTTCTTATATAAGATTTTTATGGTAAAATTTTCTGAAATATGTGGGGTCTGCAATTTTTAACTGGACTGTTTTTAATTTCACTGGTGTGGGTTAATGTTTGTGAATATACAGTGGACCCCCGCTTAACGATCACCTCCAAATGCGACCAATTATGTAAGTGTATTTATGTAAATGCATTTGTACGTGTATGTTTGGGGGTCTGAAATGGACTAATCTACTTCACAATATTCCTTATGGGAAAAAATTCGGTCAGTACTGGCACCTGAACATACTACTGGAATGAAAAAAGTTCGTTAACCGGGGGTCCACTGTACTAATGTACAGTACTGATTATATATTTTGAAGTATAATAAACTAATGGGAAGGGGGAGTGGGTGGCTAATAATGGCAGTTGTGGTAGATAAAGATGATTATTAGTATTATAATAATTGTGGGGAAACGCTAAACTAGTAGGATTATACAGCACACGTGGGGGGAGAGGAACGGAAGGTATTCAGGCTCAATTCAGGGAACTGGAACACAGATCCAATTCCATAGATCAAGAGCCCCTCACCAGCATCAAGGAACCTCCCTTGAAGGGGAAGGCTAGAGATGAACTTTTGTTGTGATTGTATTAGTAACAAACAATACTGTAAACAACAGACTTAATCCATAGTTTCTGAATCAACTGATCATCAGGTTTTGTTTCACATTTCTGAAGTTCGTGTGTATTAGTTTGTGCAACTGTTGAGGAAAATCATTGATGTTTTTAATTTAAATTGTGATATACAGATGCCCCCCAATTTATGAACAAGTTACGTTCGAGAAGACTGTATCTTGAATTGTTCGTAAGTCGTTATTTTGCCATTTTTCTGTTGTTAAGATTGTTATTGTTTTTAATATTTTATTATTAACACATCGGCTGTTTCCCACCAAGGCAGGCTGGCCCGAAAAAGAAAAATTTTCATCGTTATTCACTCCATCACTGTCTTGCCAGAGGCATGCTTACACCACAGTTATAAAACTGCAACATTAACACCCCTCCTTCGGAGTGCAGACACTGTACTTCCCATCTCCAGGACTCAGATCTGGCCTGCCAGTTTCCCTGAATCCCTTCATAAATGTTACCTTGCTCACACTCCAACAGCACATTAAGTCCTAAACCATTTGTCTCCATTCACTCCTATCAAATACACTCGTGCATGCTTGCTGGAAGTTCAAGCCCCTCGCACACAAAAACCTCCTTTACCCCCCTCCCCAACCTTTCCTAGGCCGACTCCTACCCCGCCTACTCTCCACTACAAATTTATACACTCTCGAAGTCATTATATTTTGTTCCATCCTCTCTACATGTCCAAACCACCTCAACAACCCATCCTCAGCCCTCTCGATAATAGCTTTGGTAATTCCACACCTCCTTTTAGTTATTATTATTCTTCTTTTAACAAACCAGCCGTATCCCACCGAGGCAGGGTGGTCCAAAAAGAAAAACGAAATTTTCTCTTTTTAAATTTAGTAATTTATACAGGAGAAGGGGTTACTAGCCCCTTGCTCCCGGCATTTTAGTTGCCTCTTACAACATGCATGGCTTATGGAGGAAGAATTCTGTTCCAGTTCCCCATGGAGATAACAGGAAATAAACAAGAACAAGAACTATTCAGAAAATAGAAGAAAACCCAGAGGGGTGTGTATATGCTTGTATATGTATGTGTAGTGTGACCTAAGTAGAAGAAGCAAGACGTACCTGTAATCTTGCACATTTATGAGACAGACAAAAGACACCAGCAATCCTACCATCATGTAAAACAATTACAGGCTTTTGTTTTACACTCACTTGGCAGGATGGTAGTACCTCCCTGGGTGGTTGCTGCCTACCAACCTACTACCTATAATTATTATTATTATTGTTTTCTCTCTGCGCTGTTGTTCGTTGAAAACTTAGACAATACTGTAGAGTATCAGTAATGTATGGTTCTTAATACTAAAGCATATTTTAATAATAAATACTGTAATTAAAAACTTCTTACCTTTTTAATTGGTACAATAAACTTGAGGTGATGGATGAGAGGAAGATCGGAGGTAGTGTGGGGCTACTGGGGGAGAGGGTCGTCAACCTGATACACTTCGTTGTCAAATGCTTCGTCAGTCAGGGTTTCATAAGCCTTGGTTTCTTCAACATCTGAAGAGGCTTTTGAGGTAGAAGGCACTGGTCTGAAGAATTTGTCTAAGGCAGTTTGTACCGTTTTTCTCTTCTCATAGTATATAAGATGGTAGCATGAGATAGATTTATTAACATCAGTTGAAACCTTTGAGAATCTTTTGATATTGGAGGTCCTGAAGCTCAAGCATATGGAGACCTCTCTTTATAAGAGAAAATGCCTCGGCCATCATTTTCGTCTCGAACTTTTCAGAAGGAACAGTTTCATCTTGTTCCTCTTGCTCTTCCTTAAGCTGCATCTCTTCCAGCTCCATCAAATCTTTATTCGTCAGCTCAGTTGACTTCGGTGCTGCCCAGTGGGGGTTGCAGTCAAACGTTGTACTATACAGAAGGCACGCAATTCAAAAATCAGATTTGTGGAAGTAGTATTGCAAATGAAACTTAACTAACACGGCAGTATGTCCAAATGTTCATAAGTAGGGTAGAGTCTGTAATGGCATAGAAAATGTAAGATAGATCACTTTTAATATTTAAGAAGCATTCATTGAACACATGAGAAACTGAATACAAATCAGTACTGCTCATAAATACATGCGCACAACTGCAAATGCGCATTCTGAAAAATATACTACACTTGTATGTCCTGTATAGTGGAATATGTATTTGCTTATCGACAACTTAACTGTAGGCTTCGCACATTTTTGCAGTGGGGAAACACAGGCAAATGTGTGTTCATGAAAAAGTGATTACTGCCAGCACATACCTGCTCAAAATATGTTGGTTTATTTCCGCTGCATCCTCAGTACTTGGGCCCACATGTGGTTGAAGACAATTTTCTTTAGAGAGACATTCTTAAACAGATCAGTATTAGCACTTGCTTTAATCCCAGGTACTGTAAATGATATGCAACAATGTTCAAATATAGTGGCAAGTATGATATTAAATGTTATAATTAGTTACAGTAGACCATCATTTAACACTGTTTTGTCTGGCACGTTTTGGTTATAGCATGATTGAAGAATTGAGGCATATTTTTAACACTGTGTAAAATTAATTTAACACGGTTGTGGGAGGGGAAAAATTTTGAGCGCGCGGTCGCCCACAGGGCAGGATGGGCTGTGGGTTACATCACTGAGTCAACGGGGGAGACCTACCACCATCCCTCGCCAACATCAGCCACCCCCCCACCACCCTCCCAACCTTCAGTTTGGTTCATACGTGTGTTGGACGAACCTGTGCCAGTAGCTCACTGTGTTTGTTTAGATATGTATTAATTGCCATATCTTAAATCTGCCAAGCAATCATGGCACCCAGTAGGCATACAAGTGTTGCTGAAAGTTGCAAGAAAAGGTTTAAGCGTTTAAGTCTTAGAATTAACGAAGAAAATAGATAAGAGATAGCCTGTAGCCGGAATGAAGCATCATTTTGTACACAAAAAGAATGGGGTACATATGAGTTTGTGTGATGACTGACTGACTGAATGACTTAACTGACTTACTGATTTGACTGACTGAATGACTTTAAACTAGACTTATTCACTGAAGAGGACCCTGAAACGGTGTCTAGAGCAGCGGATGCCTTGCTGTCAATTGTATAATGTACTGTAGGGTAAAACAGAACAGAAATCCCTTACAGAATTTATGCACACTCCAGTACAACCATCCACCTCAGCCCAGTAGGGCCACAGCATAACTCTCCACTCTCTTTACAATCATCCTCAAACACCAGCACCCACAATTTAAGGTAAGAAATACTATTATTTCTGTTGCAGTGAACTACAATTACATATTTACTTTTATTTTTGTAAGAGCTGTTGGTCCAAAAAAATAAGTTGTTTGGCTTTTTGGGGGCTCCTAGGAATATAATCCTATTTTTCCCACGAGTTCTTTAGTTTGTCTAACACGGCTTTGCCTACCAAGTTTTCAGGAATGTAACTACAGTGTTAAATGACTGTCTACTGTATCTGCTTGCACATGCGGCTAAAAGCAAACTTGTGGATAGTAGAGATTCCATTATGTTATGTGAAGGTCTCTTGTGGAAAATGTTTGTCATTAGTTAATTGGGAATATTTGTATATTATTATTTCTTATTTGTGTACTGTATTTTAATTACCAAATTTATTGTTGTCACTATAAAATTCCTGTTGCACAATTTTGATATCAGTATTTGCTTGTCACAGAAAAACTGTATTAAAATACTGACTCAGCAAACCAAAAATCACAGTAAAATAATTAAACAAGTGTATGAAATATTATAGTTATTCTGTCATTGTTAAATTTATTTTTTTGTATTGCATTTTGCTTGCTAAATTTCAGACAAGATGTCAGCGACAAAAATCGAGGTGTTCTAGCCTGTCCCCAAAATGTACTGACTGAACAGGATAAAAGACAGGCAAATGAACAATTGCAGTTGCTTGCTATTAGGAACTCAAATAATATACGCATACAGACAACTCAACCCAGAATTGTCAACGTATTTCCCAAAAAAAATGCAAAACAGAAGGATGCTTATGGATTAAATAGCCAACCACTAAATATAGCAATGGCTCTTGAGAATCCAATGAACAAAAGTGGTTTGAAGAAGAACAGTAAAAGTACTCCCATCTTGGATAAATCCATCTCAGAGGATTCGATATATGCTGTTCCACTGCAAGACCAGGTTACTTATGGGCAACAACCATCTAATGCAAAACATTTATCTAGTGAGGTCAAAACTAAGCCACCACCTCCACCTCCTAGAAATCCTGACACCTCTCTTGCTGTTAGACACAGGTCAAGAAGCCAAGAGATCCTATCTGGTAACCACCAAAATCAACAAATCAACAAAGATGCACTAATTCATGAACATGAAGGTTACTATGCATCAGGAAGGATGGGGGCTAATTTTCAAGGATCAAGAAGGCCTTTTTATCTGTCAAGTAGTAGGGAAGCACTTAATCAGGGATCATATAGTCCTTATATTTCAAAAAGCAAAGAATCACTGTATCAAGAAGCAGAAAATCCTTACTATATGTCATTAAGCAGAAATGAATTAAATGAAAGCTCAGCAAGTTCCTTTCAAATGTCTGCAAATAGGAAAGCACAGAAGCAGAATGTAACAAACCATTCAGCAAACAGAAGCACACTTGACCAGGAAATAAGAAATCCATATTATGAGGTAATAAGTAAAGAAGCTCTGAACAAAGAAGAAAATCCATATTATATGCCAGAATGCAGTGAGGAATTTAATACAGGACCAAGAAATCCTTATTACATACCAGAAAGCAGAGAATTTCTCACTCAGGACTCAGAAATGCCTTATCAAATGTCATCAAGTAGGGAAGCACTGAATCAGGAGTACAGAGCACATAATGAAAGAACAAAACATCTTCACATGTTAGCTAATGAGGAAGCTCTAAATCAGAGGCCAAGGAATGTACAAAACATGAATAGGTCACCCAGTGAAAGTTCATCAAGCACTTTGTATCAGCCTTTGAATACTTCTCAGAACCAAGCAAAAACTAGAGTTGCATATGAAATTGCACCTTATGATGATCCAGTCAGCATGAGCTCTACGAGCAAACACATTGATACTGTCAGTGTATCACAACAAAGAAAATACCAAGTCCCACCACCGCATGTTCTTTCAGGTATTTCTCCAGCAGTGTCCATTAATAGGCCAACTGTGCTACCACCCAGTATACCTATAGAATCATTTAGTATTCCATCCCCATTGACATCAAAGATACCCTTAGCATTACCTGCATTACAAAAGCTAAATGATAATGGATCTCCACTGAAAACAGTAACAAAGGTTTACTTGCGAGATAATTCAAAACCACCAAGTCATAGTCAAAGTATGGATAATTTAGATGAAGCACATAATTCTTCATCAGCAAGAGGAATTTCTTCCTTCAGTCCAGCATCAATAACCTCAGCCAAGTCCCTTGGAAGTCTGATACAGTCAACCCCAGGTCTGCGGTCATATGGTCAACCCACTCACATCTAAACCTGTGCATGCCAAATAATAGGCTTCCATTTTCTGGTTGGTTTTGGTATACTGATGTGTAATGTCTTGTTAACTTAAAATATGTATTCTATTTTCAAGTAAAAGGTGTAAAGTAGTTACATAATTAATAAAATCCTCATTTAACAAAAATTTAACTGCAGTTCTACCTTTTTAAAAGTTATTGTACTTTGATATGAGGATATATTTGACTTTATATTGGTACAGTATGCTGCTGATTTGAAATTGTTGTACTATTAATTTATGCAGATTGTTTTTGCAATATATTAATTAATAATACTTTTGCAGTGATAAAGATGATAAGGAAGCCATCTTGAAAGAGGAACAAAAGGATAAAGAACAAGAAAAGCTGAAGAAAAGTGAATCCAAGAGCAGTATGACAAAGGACTCCCCAGTGTAGATCTCCACACAATTCTAGTCTAATTTGCAGTTTGAATATGCAAGCTAGGATCCTATTTTGGTTTTCCTTGCATGCAACAAGAATAGAAATTAGTGTAGCAAATTTTACATAATGAACCATCATGTTGTGAACTGAACTAGAGGAATTAAATATTGGTAAATGATGCCTATAATAAAGTCTACCAAAGAAAATATATTAGCTCCTCATATGAAAAAAAAAAAAAATGTTGGGGCAATACTGTATTTCTCCAGCAGATATGCTGAATTGAAGAATTTTACAAAATAAAGTAAATTTTTGGTCATAATGAAGCCTTCAGTATTCATAGTAACAAAAAAAATAATGAACAGGCAAGAACATGTGATTGTAATATTCCAGTATAAGCTGTGTGTGAGAAACTTGCATGTTCTAATATATATATAGTGGTGAATGACAGTTTGGGATTCTCATGCTGTGTATTGCTCTCTTATTAAATTTATTCACACACACACCAAACACACACACTGAAAACAGGACACCACAAATGTAGTGTTGTTCCTGTAGATATCAATAGATAATTACATATGCACATACCCTCACATACACATATAATAGTGATAAAATAATTATGCTGTATTAGCAAATTTTAAAATAGCTTTTAATGCAAAATGCTGATCTATCATAAAATACGTTTGAACAGACTTGGAATACATAGTTGTTGTATGGTGTCCGCACCTTAAAAATGTGTTAAAATTCCAGAAACGAGAAATAAGACCTATGAAGAAATTTGCAATTTGTAATAGAAGATAGAACACCACAAGCATAAGATTTATTCTTGTAATTACAATTTCATACACGCATACAAATACAGATGTCTATGCACACACACACACACACACACACACACAATTTTGTAAATTCCTTATAAATACAAGTTATTTTTTACAAAAAAAATTGTATGTGAATGTGCATGAAAGATTTTGCCATCTTTGCTGTGCTGATCGTAGCCTTATGTAAAGGATAATACTTAAATGTTCACAAATGAATTACTATAATTGAACTTTATATAATGAATGAGTAATTAATGTGAATATAATGTACACTCAGTATTGCCTTTAATGTATGTTGAATTTTTTTTTTTTTTTTTTGAAAAAAATTAGGTCAAATCAGTAAATGCAAGACTGATTCAGAGCCAACAAATGCTTGTTATATTTTGAATCTATTTCATGTGAGACCTAGTCAAGAAATACATCTAAATAAGAAGTAAAACTAATTACTGTTATACATAGGACAGACTGTAAACATTGGATGTAATTTCAAGAGTTTTAATTATTCAGACTGTATAAAAGTCAAAAAACATCTGAAGTTTTTAGACTTTGCTAAATATTTATACAGCCCATAGCTTGAAATACTATATAATATGTTTATTATTTTTGTTTTTATTATTAAATGTTTTTTTTTTTACCTTGAATTCTCTTACGTAAGTTTGGTGCAATTTACCATTGACAAAATGGTTATATAAATATTTTGGGAATATTAATAAACATGAATGTAAATTTCCAATAATTATTATCACTGCACTCTAATGGATAATGTTTTTAATTTTCCATTTATTGAATGATTGTACAAACTATATCTTAGCTCCAACTGAGCTTTTGATGACCATGTGACTCCTCGTTAATGTGTCACATCATCCTGAGGGTAGTTTATTAATATATATGGATGCTTTAACAAGTTTTTAAATAATAGGATGACCTCATTTATAAGGATGATATGACACTGATATGCATAGCGGGTCAGTGGTCTCATCACCAAACTCTGACTTGTGACATGAAAAGCAATTGTGATGCTTGTAACAGAGTCGGTTTTGTTACCAAAAAGATCAGTGAACCTTGCTGACTAGCTACGTATGTATTGGCTCATAATAACCATCTTCTGACATCTTTTCTTAAAATTGTCTCCTAGAGCTAGTTTCATCAAATGTGACTTAGCTCTTCTAACAAAGGTGTAACAGATTCTGAAATGACACTTTGGTTGATGACTTCGAAAAATTAATCAACATCAGTGAGAAGAATATTAAAGTGCACATTGTTGAAGCTAATCTTATATTTTGCATGGTGTATACATAAATATATTCTGCAATAAAACAATATATATTTACTGTGAAAAATTAATAAATTGGAAAACATTGAAAATTCTGTAGCTCATCCAATTATTGAAATCAGCTTCAAATGTTTTAGCCACATACGTAATATTCAAGTACTGTACTTACATATGCTCAAGTGCCATTTAAGAATTTGCTGTATGGCTCACCAATTTTGCATAAGACAGCTCATGGTTTTTTACAAGGACGGACACACACAAATCCTCAAACCAATGGAACGTAACTCACATCTCAGTCACAGACATGACTTTCTTCATCTTAGGTTGTATATATACTGATCTGAACATTTGAACATAAATTGCTAATTGAAAGTTTTGACTGTGTTAGAGATGCTGCAATTGAGTTTTAAAAGTGCACCTGAATATATAGGGGTGAATCTAATGCAGTAATTTAAAATTTATTTTACTCATAAAACTAAATTACTTTGCTTTTAGTAAATTAGAGAAATGAAGTTGTTTGCTAGTTGATTCAAATGCAAATAATATATTTTTAAATTATTCTATTAATATGGTTATATTAAAGTGACTGTAATTTATCTTTCATCACTAATTCTGTAATTTCATAAATTGCATTTATCTTACTCACTTTTCATGGGTTATTCAGTAGTATGCATCTCTTTCATTGAAAAATATTTGTATGCATCAAATACACTCGATGTGTGGTAGCATTTAAGGCAATCCTGCGGTGATGGTCATTGTGTCCGCCCTGACCCATGTGGTAATGTGAGGTCAGCTTTTTTATTGTGATCATGTATGACTATGCTTGTCTGTATTCCAGTGTGGTAAAAAAATAAATAAAATGTCTGATACCGTGCTTACTATTATTAAAAAAGTAATAAACCTCAAAAGTTTCACTTTTTTTTTTTTTTTTTTACAGTTTATCCTACCTCAGGTCCTAGTTATACTCACAATAATTTACTAGTACAGTAGAACCCCCATAGTCACTCTTTCAGTATCTGGTTTCAGTTATCTGTGGTTTACTGTGACCCAAAAATACCTCTTAATTTTGTTTAATAATGGCCCCAAACTGCAAAAGTAAAGAAGCTGGCAGTTCTTCAAAGCCTAGACGAAACCATGAATGTTTCCCATCAGTGAAGAAGTGGTAATTCTCCACTTATTGTGCATAATTTATCAAACTATAATAAGAATGTATAGGACTTGTATACATAAGGTTTGCTACTGTCCATGGTTTCAGTATCCATGGCAGGTCCTTGGAATGTATCCTCAAAGATAAGAATGTATAGGACTTGTATACATAAGGTTTGCTACTGTCCATGGTTTCAGTATCCATGGCAGGTCCTTGGAATGTATCCTCAAAGATATGGGGGTCCTACTGTACTAGTAGTACTTCTTTTTACTGGTAGGTGAGCAAGGGCAGCAGGAGTAAAAAGATAATTAGAGGGAAAATGATAGAAATACATTCACCTAGGACACCCTTATTGAAGACCTTCACTGGAAGTGCTCAAAGTCTCAGGACTGAAACACCTTCAATGAAGAAGTCAATCTTGTTCCTCGTAAGTTGATGGCATTTGCTTCATTCTCACTACCAACTGTAAAGATACTAGCCCTTACATTGATTCTGAGGCAAATACTTCAACTAAGCTACAAAATTTTTTAGGAAATTTACCAAATAAATTATTACTGCATCTGAAATATTGCCTTTACCAGCTAGCTGGCTCCCAACCATTTACTGCATAGTATGTCACCCTTCTATACTGACTTAAGCAATGAAGGTGGCCAACTGATGCCATTCTAACCCTTAAAATGTCTCAAAAAAATACCATGGAGTCACCATCTACTTTTAGGTAAGCAAGTTAAAGATAAGTGACTGAAATGGCCACCCAGTACTGTTCTCTAGTAGCTGTCTTTTTTTTTTTTTTTTTTTTTTGCTGAAATACACCATTTAACTTACAAGATGGCCTATTATCCCTCATGTCATTCTATACTTGTAGGAATACTGTATCCCTGAACTAGACATGGTAAAATTTCTCAGACTTCTGTTTGATCCTCGAATGTTCCCTAAAAGCTGCTTGTCAAAGTTTCATCTTTCTTGGGAGTAACAGAAACCAACTATATTCTTCAGCCTTTCTCCAATTTATTTTGTCGATCCTATTTATAATGCCTCTTTCCTCTAGATATTCATTCTATTGGCATCCCTTAATTTATCTTCCTATTACATTCATCTGGCATCTTCCTTCTCTTCTTGGGAAATTCCAATGATTTGTTTTTGCTCATCCCCACTTCCATGTGCAAAAGTTCACCTGCCTACTTCAACTTTGCACTCATGAACACTTGCAATCTCATTCTAATGCTATTGTAGTGTACTGTTTTTAAATATCCCAATGATGTTGGGTATCAAACTATTGTTCCTGGAAGAATAATCCAATGTCATTAACTAGAATTGGCAAGTGTTTTTACAGTAGTTATATGAAATTCTCAGTGCTATCATACACACTGCAAACGTGTATTCCTCATCAGACCCCCAAGAGCATTACCAGCTGTTCACAAAAATCTGACTCCCCCCTCATTTCATCGTGCTACATATATAGCTTTGGTTGTGTCTTTTGAGTAAATGACGTTGGTTTTTGGTGGGTTCCTGGAGATGCTTTTAGTGATGGCAATGAACAAGCAGAAACTGCTGCTCAGTTAGCGGCTATTCATGATCTCCCCATTTCCTTTCTCAAATTATTTTTTCAGGGCTCACTCAACAACTCCACAACCATTGACAACAGAGTTGATCAGTGTCCACCATATCTCAATATTGCATCCTACACCTACACTGCCCCAAAAGTGGAGTTTGTTCTCACCCTTCAAAAAACTTCAATTATGTTGGTGGTAAAGGGTACAGACATCATAGGAGCTTGTTTCTTACAATGTCAGCGATTGCATTTCATTAACAACTCCCACCATCTTATGACTCCCAAATGGGCTGTCAGCTCTAGACACCCAAAGGAATGCTTTATTTTAGATGAATAAGTGCTCCTGCTGAGCTAGTAAAAGTCTTAGCACTGACATTGGCAGACATTAAAATCGAGCTGGAAGCCCTTAAGAGTGAGCATTACCTATGGAAATGCAGGAACCTCCCTCACATCAGCTTGTATTCAGTCCTCTTTTTCCCTCAAGTCCACAAAGATGATTCCTTGATGTCAATGAGGAGGTCTTGATCTAAGGTACTGAACTTGTCTTCCCATTATATGGATTGAACCTGGATGCCTCCCATTCCCTATTTGTTGTAGTTCTTTCCTCTAGTTTTTTTTTTTTTTTTTTTTTTTTATCAGTCATCTCCCACTGAGGTAGGGTGACCCAAACATAAACATACACTTTCACCATCATTAACTCTTATTACTGTCTTTGCAGAGACATGCCAATACTAGAGTTCAGATGTCTCTCCAAACTGCAAAAATCCCCACCCCAACTTCAGAGTATAGACACTGTACTTCCCACCTCCAGGACTCGAGTCGAGCTATCGAGCGAGCTAACTGGTTTCCTTTAATCCCTTCACAAATGTTACCTTGCTTGTCAAGTCCAAAAAAATGTTTGCCTCCACTCCTATCGAGCATGCTCACACATTCCTGCTGATGCTAAAGTCCCTAACACACAAAACCTTCTTTGGTGAGTGAGAACATCAAATCAATGTTAAGAGATGAATAGTTCACCTGCGGTGAACTTCCACCCACCCCCCAGTGTGGAGAAAATTAAGTCCTCCTTCCAACCTTTCCTAGGGTGACCATGACTCAGCCTACCCTCTACAGATTAATACATCCTCCTAGTAATTCCATCTTGCTCCACCTCTCTAAATGTCCAAACCACCTCAATAACTCCTTCTCAGCCCTCTGGATAATTTTAATAATCCCAGACCTCCTCCTAATATCCAAACTACAAATTCTCTTGAATATATTATAATCAAAAAGAAGTGCTCAACCTACAAGGGTCATACAGTGCAGTCTGCATAATATATACACCACACATTGCCCTCAAACATGACATTTCAACTGCCTCCAGCCGCCTCCTCACTGCAATATTCACAAGCCAAGCTTCACACCCATGTAAGAGCATTGGTACCATTATACTCTTGCACATTTCCCTTTTTAACTTCACGAATAATGTTCTTTGTCTCCACAGATGCTTCAATGTACCACCCAACTTTTTTCCTCCATCAAATCTACGATTCATCTCATCTTTCATGGACCCATCTGTCAACATGTCCTCTCCCAAATATGTGAACACATACACTTCCTCCATACTCCCTCCTTCCACCCTGATATCCAATCTGTCATTACCTAAATTGTTTGCTACCCTCATCACCTTGCTCTTTTCTATGTTCACTTTTAACTTACGCCTTTTGCATACCCTCCCAAATTCCTCCACCAACCTTTGCAACTTCTCTTTAGAATCTCCCAAAAGCATAGTGTCACCAGCAAAAGGCAAGTGTGACAACTCTCATTTTGTACTAGATTTTGCGTATTTTAATCCCACACCTCTTCCCAGCATCCTAGCATTCACTTTTTTTAGAATCCCCACCTATAAATGCTAAACAACCATGGTGACATCATGCATTCCTCTCTCATACATACCCTAATACCAGCCTCACTATCCTCATTAACTGCTTGCAGTAGCCTACCACCTATTCTTCACGCTTGCAACATCTGCCACTTTCTTACCCTATCATATGCCTCTTCTAAATCCATGAATTCAACGAAGACTTTCCTAACCCTTATCTAAAGTGCAGAGAAGTTGGTAATTTGACCAATTTTACACAAAATTTAAAGAATAACAATTTTAAAATACAGTGGTACCTCGTTATACATCCGCTTTGGAATAAGTCCAACTTGGTATACGTCCTGTTTGGACATGAAAATTTTTGCTTGGTATGTGACCTTTGTTTGGAATACGACTTGCATGCTAGAACTTGTTTGGGTCAAAATGAGTCGCAACACTGTGCGCTACCCTTGGTTACCTCTCTCTCAAGACAGCTATGACTGCCCACTAGCATCAGTACGCCCACTGCTGCTACCATTCTAAAATTCTGTGAATTTTCACGTGATTGTGCTTTTTTGTATAAATTTTAAGCAAATTCATTAACCATGAGTTCTAAGAAAGTTAATGAGAAAGAGCCAAGTAACGAAGAAAATAGTTAGGATCACCATGGAGGTGATAAGAGAGATTGTTGAAAAGTATGAAAGTGGCATGTGTATCCAGAACTTGGCTGCTGCATACTGTATGCCGAGAACAACAGTATCTAAGACTGTGAAAAACGAAGTTATTAAATCGGCTAACGTTGCGAAGGGGTTGAAATCAATTACCAAACAAAGATCAGGGACATCAGAGCATGTTGAAAAATTGCTTTTGATCTGGATAACAGAAAAACAGTGTGCCGGCGATAGCATATCAGAGGCAAAGGCAAAACTGATGCATGCCGATCTTTGGAAAACAAAGCAGGAACGAGCCAAGAAAGTGAAGTTTAAAGCCAGCCATGGCTGGTTTGATAATTTTAAGAAGAGGACTGGCATTCAGTGCTGTGAGGCATGGAGAGGGAGCCAGTGCTGATAAACATGCCGCCAATGATTTTGTTAGAGTTTGGGGAATTTGTGGAGGCTGAGGGTTTTGTTCCCAACAAGTTTTTAATTGTGATGAAACACGCCTGTTTTGGAAGAAAATGCCTAACAGGACCTATATTACACAAGAGGAGAAGGCATTACCAGGACACAAGCCAGTGAAGAATAGGTTAACTCTCTTGTTCTGTGCCAATGCAAGTGGGGATTGCAAACTGAAGCCTCTACTGATCTACCACTCTGAAAACCCGAGGGCCTTTAAAAAAATTAACGTGCAGAAAACTCAGTTACCTGTGATGTGGAGGTCAAACAGCAAGGCTTGGGTAACCAGAGAATATTTCAGCGAACGGTTTAATGTTGTGTTTGGGCCAAGTGTAAAAAGTTATTTAGAGGAGAAAAACCTGCCTCTGAAGGCCCTCCTCATAATGGACAATGCTCCAGCTCACCCTCCAAGCTTGCAGGACTATGTGCTGCCAGAGTTTGACTTCATCACTGTAAAGTTTCTCCCCCCAACATGACTCCTCTCATTCAGTCCATGGATCAGCAGGTCATCAGTAATTTCAAGAAACTCTACACTAAAGCACTATTCCAGAGGTGTTTTGAAGTGACCTCTGACACAAGAGTTAACCCTGAGAGAGTTTGGGAAAGATCACTTTACTATTGCACACTGCATAACTCTCACTGACAAAGCCTGGCAGGAAGTTTCATACAGAACACTGAACTCTGTTTGGAGGAATCTGTGGCCAGAAGCAGTGGCTGAAAGGGACTTTGAGGGCTTTGAGGCTGTGTCTATAGTGGAGGATATTGTCTCTCTGGGCAGGTCCATGGGTCTGGATGTGAGTGGTGGTGATGTGGAGGAGTTAGTGGAGGGGCACAGGGAAGAGCTGACCACTGAGGAGCTGCAGGAACTTGAGGAGGAGAAGCACAAGACTAAGATGGATGCAATCTCTCTTCCGGCTCGGAAGAGGAGATAGAGGAAGCCCCTACTTCATTAAACAAGGAAATTTTTGCCAAATGGATGGACGTCAACAACTTTGCAGAGAAGTACCACGCCAACAAAGCCCAAACAAGATGTAATAGCATTGTTTGGAATGACCAGACAATGTCACATTTCTGAAACATCCTGAGAAGGCAGAGGCAAAGTTCTTTGTACAGATTTTTAGTAAAAGTCCAACTTGGTGAGCTTCAACCAGTTCCAGATAGGGAAAAGAGACAGAAAAGAGAAGAGGACTCTCCTTCCAAACAATAACATTTCCTCCTCCTCCCTTCTCAGCACTATCCTAGTAGGCACTCGACTCTTTTTAGCAAAGTAAAGTGAGGTTAAATTTGCATTTATTCATCTAATAACTTTGTATTTATATACATGTATGTATTTTAGTATTAAGGAGTGTTTAAATTACATATTTTAATATTAGGCAGTGTTTAAGTTATTTTATACAACTCCATCAATGTATATGCCAATAACAATAGGATTTTCTTGTGGGAATGGATTAATCGTTTTCTCTCTACATATATGCACGGTGGAACCTTGGTATATGACCAGCTCCCTACTCGAACAAAGCTCAGCACTTGACCAAACAAATAAGACCTGCGAGAACTTCGCTGTAAACCATTTCGTGATTCTTCGCATTTTTTGGTGTTTTTTGTATATCTGTATAAATAAGTCACCATGGGGCCTACGATGATTAGTGATAACAGCCAACCAAACAGAAAATTGGTTGTGAAGAATTTGTTCAATACTCAAATGGAGAGGCACTCAAACAGCCTTCTGGAATGAATTAAGGTCGCATACCAAGGTTCCACTGTATTTCTTTGGGAAAATTTGTTTGGTATACGTCCTGTTTGGTGTAAGTCCAAGGTCCTGGAACAGATTAAGGACATATACTGAGGTACCACTGCCATCCAAAATAAACAGTGTAGACATTCCTGGCACTAAAGAATCATTTCTTTTGTTTATTAATGACATCTCTCATTAATTTTGAATTCATAGTCACACAAAAATAGAAGATTTACTCTTTATTTTTCAGATAATAAAATATAAGCAAGAATGATTGGTCATGGCTAAGAGTGTTTCAATGATTAAATCAGACATTAAAAACCCATAAATGGGTGTAGGGGTACCTTACCCATCCTCAGGAAAATCAGCAAAAATGAATATTTCCACTACTCTGATCTCAATTTCAAGCTACTTACAGTCAAACTAACCAAAATCATCTCTATTTCAGTACAGTTGTATGTCTTCCATTCTATCAAGTGATACCAAGAAACAGCCAATAAAACCATAAAAAAACATCCAGGAAAATACCTCAAAATCATCATTCAATGCATAGAGCAGGATTTTTTTTTTATACTGTGCACATTCACTGCACAGACCCATTCTCTTGTATATAGGCCAAAATTTACAACTCACAATTTACCAAGTGAGCTGAGCTCATGATGTAGAACCACATGAGGGACCCCGGCCTCAATGATGTAATTTTATGTGATGGCCACTGAAAGGGTTAATACTGAAAATCATCTGCAATGATTAAGAAAAAAAAATATTCTTATACGTATGGTAGTAATGTTTAGTCTGTAAGACAATTTTACAAAATTCTTTCCAATGAAGGTCTGGTACTTTGAAAAGAAATGCCATTTATTGTTGTAAATAATACCTTTACTATTAAGCTTAAGTACAATATTCCTATTTTTTTAGCAAAACAGTTGTATATTCTTAGGTTAATCCAGTCCAGTGTTCACTGATAGCCCAAAGCCTTTTGGCAGCAGCTCTGTCCTGTGCAGCTTCAGATACTTCTGCTTCTGCTTTGTTACTGTAAAGAAAATGAGTTTCAGTATATCAAGTCTTTTTCTCTTCCCCTTTTCTCCATATCCCCAAGGAGAACTTAATGCTTTCAATTTGCCAAAAAAGGAAAAAAGCAGGAACTGACCTAAAACCTAGAAAATTAAAAGGGGGTATTGCCAGTAACGCAACCCTATTTATTTATTTGGTTCATTTATAATTAATATTCTACTGTACAACTATGAAATAATTACTTTCCTACTGTACAACTATGATATACTATTTCTTAGTATTAAGTAGAATGTAAGCCAATAATGTTAAGTTGGCCCATAATGCCAAGGCATAATAGAGGCTCTCTTTGCATTGCATCCCACTATTGTATACAGTGGACCCCCGGTTCACGATATTAATCCGTTCCTGAGAGCTCATCGTAAACCAAAATTATCGGAATGCGAATCAATTTTCCCCATAAGAAATAATGGAAATCAAATTAATCCGTGCAAGACATCCAAAAGTATGAAAAAAAAACTTTTACCACATGATATATTAAGTTTAATGCAATATAATAATTACAATAACAATAATAACAACAGAATAATCACAATAGAATAATTGACACTTACCTTTAATGAAGATCTGGTGATGATTGATGGGATGGGAGGAGGGGAGAGTGTTGAAGTTTTTAATGTTTAGAAGGGGAATCCCCCTCCATTAGGACTTGAGGTAGCAAGTCCTTTTCCGGGGTTACTTCCCTTCTTCATTTAATGCCACTAGGAAAAGCTTGAGAGTCACTGGACTTCTGTCGCACAACATATCTGTCCATAGAGGCCTGTACCTCTCGTTCCTTTATGACTTTCCTAAAGTGGTTCACAACATTGTCAGTGTACAGGTTGCCAACATGGCTTGCAGTAGCTGTGTCAGGGTGATTTTCATCAAAAAAGGTTTGCACTTCAAGCCACTTTGCACACATTTCCTTAATTTCAATAGTCATTAGCACCCTTGGCCTCGATGGGTTGGCACTAGAAGCTTTCTTGGGGCTCATGGTGACTTATTTTGCAGAAACAAGCACCAAAAACAGTGATAATATGGATAATATAGAATGTACCGAATGTATCGTTAGATGCGCGCACACTGGCTGGCTTGTAAACACTGGACACGTCTCGTACGAATCGTATCGCATACCGGGTTTTGTAACGGGAACCGAGGCAAATTTTTTGCGATATAATGCTTCGGATACCGGATTTATCGGATACCGATGGCTTCGCGAACCGGGGGTCCACTATATACACAATCTCAATGTACTGTTTGCAAAGACATTAAATAAATAAAATAAATAAAAATAAAACAGAGCCGACTAAGATTTCCACTGTCTTATTATGCCCAATGAACAATATTTTTCAAATTAAAAAATTGGTTTTAAAATTAAAAACTACTAATTTTTAAACAAAAAAAAAATCTTTGCACAAATCTAGATCTAGATAATATGATATACATGTCAGCACCCTCCCCACGAGCATCCCTGACAAGCCATCCCATGAAATTTTTTAGACAACAGTCCAAAACAAGCCAATGAGGCTACTTATACAAATCCACTGTGCACTACATCTCACTGTCAAAGAAACTGTTATATTGGCTGGAAATCAAGCTCTAGAAATTCTTATCTGAACCCACATAATGATGGAGTGTGTACAAGCTCAAAGAACTGTAATGAATCCAAATCTGGGAATCTGATGATAACCTAGTTAAGCATCTTGCCACATTTCTGCAGTGATACCGGCATCAAACGGTTGGGGGGATAGTGATATGGAAGGGACAAATGGGAGTATGCTCTGTTTTCCATACCCCAATCTAGCAGAGAGAATTCTTTTCAATGGCAAAAACAAATACTGCCAAGGGATAATTTCCAGCATCAGAACGTTTTTCACAGCATACTGGATTGATCTGAATCATACTTGCATGGATTTGGGACACATGGGTTATACGTACATAAAATTTAAACCAATATTTTTCAGTTTGCATCTGGCAGTGGCCTGGCATTTCACACTGGAAAAGGGGCAAATAGTGATGCTGAAAATTCAATGTTGAATATTCTAAAGACAGATTTTCCGGCATCAAATGTTTCTATCTAACATGTTTCAAAAGCCTAAATTTCTTTCACACTAGGTTTATATTTCAAAATAATATATAGAATGCTTTATACAGTTAAACAGTATTTGATAAGGGAATACTGAGGTGCTTAGGGCATTTAGAGACAATAGGATGACAAAGAGGGCACTCCAGGAAGGCCTGGAAAGAGTAGTGGTAAACATTTTGAGCGCTAGGGGCTAGAGCATCTAGCAGGCTTGTATTTGTTAGACGGGAGTGAATGGATTATTATCGGGGGAAGGGGGAGGGGCCTCAACCCTTAGGAAGTCTTTCAGAGCATGAGAAGAAGATGGAATCAAGTGGTTTTTATGGTTGACATACTATGTGAACAAGGTAACATTTAGCAAGGGATTCAAGAAAACCAGCTAGCCTGGAAAGTACAGTGTTTGCAGTCTGAAGGAATGATGGGGATGCTGTTTGCTGGTCATTTGAAATTTTATATTTATGCACCTTTGACATTCAGGTATTGAATGAATGATGGTGAAATTTTTTTTTTTTTTGTCTAACAAGTCGGACGTCTCCCGTCAAGGCAGGGTGACCCAAAAAAAAAAAGAATATCCCCAAAAAGAAAATACTTTCATCATCATTCAACCCTTTCACCTCACTCAAACATAATCACTGTTTTTGCAGAGGTGCTCAGAATACAACAGTTTAGAAGCATACAGTGTATGTATAAAGATACGCAACATATCCCTCCAAACTGCCAAGATCCCAAGCCCCTCCTTTAAAGTGCAAGCATTGTATATCCCATTTCCAGGACCCAAGTCCGGCTATATAAAAATAACCGGTTTCTTTGAATCCCTTCATTAAATATTACCCTGCTCACACTCCAACAGCTCGCCAGGTCCCAAATACCATTCGTCCTAATACGCTCACGCACGCTTGGTGGAAGTCCAAGCCCCTTGCCCACAAAACCTCCTTTACCCCCTCCCTCCAACCTTTCCGAGAACGACCCCTACACCGCCTTCCTTCCCCTACAGATTTATACGCTCTCCATGTCATTCTACTTTGATCTATTCTCTCTAAATGACCAAACCACTTCAACAACCCCTCTTCAGCCCTCTGACTAATACTTTTATTAACTCCACACCTTCTCCTAATTTCCACACTCCGAATTTTCTGCATATTTACACCACACATTGCCCTTAGACAGGACATCTCCAATGCCTCCAACTGCATCCTCGTTGCAGCATTTACAACCCAAGCTTCACACCCATGTAAGAGTGTTGGTACTACTATACTTTCATACATTCCTTCTTTGCCTCCATAGATAACATTTTTTGTCTCCACATATACCTCAACGCACCACTCGCCTTTTTTCCTTCATCAATTCCATGATTAACCTCATCCTTCATAAATCCATCCGCTGACACGTCAACTCACAAATATCTGAAAACATTCACTTCTTCCATACTCCTCCTCCTCAATTTGATATCCAATTTTTCTTTATCTAAATCATTTGATACCCTCATCACCTTACTCTTTTCTATGTTCACTTTCAACTTTCTGCCTTTACACACACTCCCAAACTCATCCACTAATCTTTGCAATTTTTCTTTAGAATCTCCCATAAGCACAGTATCATCAGCAAAAAGCAACTGTCAATTCCCATTTTGTATTTGATTCCCAATAATTTAATCCCACCCCTCTCCCGAACACCCTAGCATTTACTTCTTTTACAACCCCATCTATATGGTGAATGTCTGTCCATATTTTGGGTCACCCCTGTCTTGGTAGAAGATAGCCGGTGAATTAAAAACAATCAAAATGTTTAAATTTTCTGTATTTGATTTTTGAAAGCTGCCATGATGCAGTGTAAGATTAGGATTTTAGAGGTAGTTATGAGCCACTCCAATAATCAAATTCACTAAGTGGAGTATAGTTAATCACTTCACTTCCAGTTTTCAGCATTTTCTGAATACACTTCTCTTCTCATGAGCCAGTTATGATCAAAGGCTGTCCTCTTTTCTGGCTGTTTTCTGACTGACTATAATGACCAGTCAATTAGTGGACAGTTACAAAATTATGCACTGTATTTCTCACTCACCTGAAATACTTTCCAGAAACATTCTCCAGTTCAGAGTTTAGTGCAGCATATATAGTTGTCTGGGCACCTTGACGAGGTGTCTTAAGGAACAACCATAATAGCGGGAAGAGGAATATTTTGGCTATCCAACTGTTGTTTATGCCCATGTGCCTGCCTATATCAGTAAAAACAATCCCAGGATGAATGGCATTACTTGTCACTCCAGTACCTGAGGATACAAAATTACCTGAAATTTTGCTCAGTTCATTTTAGCCAGAAAGAAATCTTTAATAATCATGCTTCACCACAGTTCAATTCGAAGAAAAAAAAAATCCAGATGAATAACTACACCCAAGACATTATGCTACAATGTATGTAAAGTTCAGGCAAATATGTTACTAATGCATTCTACCACCCATCCACCCACCCACACACACACACACACACACACACACACACACACACACACACACACACACACACACACACACACACACACAACTGTAAATAAAAGTTTCAAGAAAGCCATACTTCAAAGTTAAGACAGCACTCACGCTTTCAAGTAAAGATACAGATTGGCCTCCATGATAGGTACATTTGTACTAATGAAAATCATACCAAACCAAATAGTGAAAGAGTAAGGAGTGACTGGTTTTGAGGGTTCTTGTATCCTTGCAACCTGGCCTAAAGCCAGGCTTCCCTGCTGACTGAATTCTCAACCAAGTTGCTCCTACTAGCCCTTCAAGAGAGATCCCTTGATATCAGTGAAAGTCTCTTGCTCTAAAGAACTGGAACTACCCTTCCTTGGAATGAATCTGATTGCCTCCCATTTCCCAAGGTGTTGAATGATCACTATGGGTTTAACACTCCTTGCCATGAAATAAGTAAGTGTTCCTACTAGCAGGCTGCAAGTCCACACAGCAACTGCAGCCTGGCTGATCTGGTACTTGTTGGAGGAAGCAGTTGTGTTCTGCTGAAAATTTCTACCTTTATTCAAGTAATATTATTTCTCAATTCAGCTAGTAGCAGACTGATATTCGCTGACAGCAGGTAAATATCTGCTGGTAGCAAGTTGATTCCCTCTGTGATATACCTGTGAACAATTTTGTGAGTTCTTCTATTCATGCAGCCCAGCCTGGGCCCAGGCTTTTCTACTAATTGCCTGTTCAACCAGGATGGTAGCAGGCATACAAGATTTTCTGGCAATGAGGTTTTTGTACCAGTGGCATGAAAAGGGAGTCGCACTGAAGCCACATCTACCCTTAGGTAAATGCATAGTACAACTACATCTACAGACAATTGTGCAATCAGCTGCATAATATTAAATTTTCTGGTGAAAGTGCTTCTGCTGATCAAACAGCTGCAGGAATTTCCCTGCTGAAATGGAGGAAATTATCTCTGAGGGTGGTTACAAGCCAAAGCAATTATTCAACTGTGGTGAGACAACTGGAAGAAGCAAGCAAGCAAGCAAGCAAGAGAAAAGTGCATTGAAATTCAAGATAACACAGGATTGCCCCAGTTTGCTACTTTGCACTAATGCATCAAGCAATTTCAAGTATGCCCATGCTTATTAATTGCTCCAAGATTCCCTGTGTTGACCACGATAAAGAATTTGATATTATTTACTTAGATTTTAGTAAGGCTTTTGATAGAGTTCCGCACCATAGACTCTTAAAGAAAGTGGCAGCTCATGGCATTGGGGGAAAAGTGCTCTCGTGGATCGAGTCATGGCTCACTGACAGGAAGCAGTGTCCATAAATGGGGTTAAATCCGAGTGGGGATCTGTAACAAGTGGCGTTCCACAGGGATCAGTCTTGGGCCCGTTGTTGTTTATAATATATATCAATGATCTTGATGAGGGAATTACTAGTGATATGAGCAAATTCGCCGATGACACAAAGATAGGTAGGATAATTGATTCAAACGTAGATGTTATGGAACTTCAGGAGGATTTAAACAAACTCTATTCTTGGTCAGAAAAGTGGCAGATGCAGTTCAATGTAGATAAATGCAAGGTTCTGAAGCTTGGGAGTGCCCATAACCCTAGTATTTATAAGTTAAATGATGTAGAACTTAGCATACAGATTGCGAAAAGGACTTGGGGGTTATGGTGAGCAGCAACCTTAAACCAAGACAGCAATGCCTAAGCGTACGTAATAAGGCAAATAGATTACTAGGATTTATATCAAGAAGTGTAAGCAACAGAAGTCCAGAGGTCATACTGCAGCTTTATACATCATTAGTAAGGCCTCACCTAGATTATGCAGCTCAGTTCTGGTCTCCATATTACAGAATGGACATAAATTCGTTAGAAAACATTCAGCGTAGGATGACTAAATTAATACATAGCATTAGAAATCTTCCTTATGAAGAAAGATTGAAGACTCTTAAGTTACATTCACTTGTTAGACGAAGAATGAGGGGAGACCTGATCGAAGTGTATAAGTGGAAGATAGGTATTAATAAAGGGGATATTAATAAGGTCTTGAGGATGTCTCTCCAAGAGAGAACCTGCAGTAATGGATTTAAATTAGATAAGTTTAGATTTAGAAAGGACATAGGAAAGTATTGGTTTGGAAATAGGGTAGTTGATGAGTGGAACAGTCTACCTAGTTGGGTTATTGAGGCTGGGACTTTGGGTAGTTTCAAATTTAGGTTGGATAAGTACATGGGTGGGAGGGGTTGGATTTGAGTGGGACTTTCACATCAGAGCTTATTTCTTGGGTAGCATTGAAAATTGGGTTGGGCAAATGTTTTGTTAGTGGGATGAATTGTAAAGGACCTGCCTAGTATGGGCCAACAGGCCTCCTGCAGTGTTCCTCCTTTCTTATGTTCTTATGTATAAAGAACCACCTTGTCAGGTATCTGAAGGTCTAACCAGTCAGTAAATAAGACCTGTCATCCAGACCGACTCAGCATTTTATTTCAGAAGTCATGTTTTACCTGTGCAGCAAGATCCTTGCATTCAAGGTTCTCTTTATTCATCATAATTCCTGGACTCGCCCAGAAATCTTGGAGACATGCACACATATGTAAAAGTTGTGTTACCACCAAACACTATCTTTATTACAACCACTTTAAGGCATTATTAAAACATTTAATTGCAGAAACTTGTCTGAACTTACAGCTTTGCATTCCAGATTTCTGGTTTAAATTGAACATTGCAGATATTATCAACTAGTGCCCCAATCAACATTAAATGCAGATTGGGGAAAGTTATGGGATAGTGTAATAAATAATAATTTCACAGGTTTTTCCCTCAGGTGAGAGCCAGGTCCATGAAATTGTTCAGGGGCAGGAGATTCCCAGGTGAGGTTTGAGGATTGCAGGAAGACATGAATGGTTTTAAAAGATGGGGAAAAAAAAAAAACCCAGCAGGAAAGTTGGCAAAAACTAAATGCCCCGATAAAGGGAGCAAATCCCAAAAGTTCCCCTGAACATTGACATCATTTAATTACCTTTTATTGTTTAATTCCAAAACCCTTTTTTAAATACCACTTTTACTATTTAGGTACTTTAAATATCTTGTATCCCAAAAAACCCTTAGTATAACTCCGTGGGAGCGAAACATTCCCACAATAAATGTCACATTAGTTGCACTTGTGTCCTTTTACTTTACACATACAGTGCAATATTGAATCCAAAAAAATGGTTAAAATTTAATACATGAAAAAAAATTTTTTTCATTTTTTTTTTTTTTTTTTTTTTTTTGTTTAATTTTTTTTGTTATTTTTTTAAAAAAATTTTTTAAAAATTTTTATTTGTTTTTTTTTTGTAAATTTAAACATTTTTTATTTTTTATAAAACATTTTGCTCCAAATTTTCAGTTTGTATATTCAACTCCAACCCTTTTTATTTTTCCCTTTTTTTCCTGGTATCATCTTACTTTCATATTTTAACCAAGTCATTGCCATTGTTTTTTTTACTTATTATTCTTTTTGGGATTTAATTTTTGGGAAATTTTATTTTGTCTTTAAATTTGTTTATCTTGTCTTTTAACAAATTATATCAGCCTAGTGCAAATTTCAAGTACCTTTTTTTTGTTTTTTATAAAATTTTTTTACCCGTTGTACTTACTCATTTTACTCAATTTCATAGACACACTAAATTCATTTATTAGACCTTAGTGCAATTACAAGGTGGTTGGTTTCCCTTGTAATTTTGTTTTTTGTTTTTTATGTATTGTTTATACTAGTTGTACTTTAGCTCATTCTTGCACAACAATTTGCAATATCAAAATTTATTATGTTTTTAGTGATTACTCTATATGACCAAAGGCTTTTGCGGTTACTTTCCCAAAAACCCCCTCCACTACAGAAAACAGTATTAGAACTCACCAATAATACAGGTATAAACAACCAATTTTTAAACCTAAAAGGGTGAATGATCCGTTGACCCCCATCTAAAAACCCCCATAAAACTAAACACAATCAAAACTTATTTGGAAAATAACTGCCTTTATTTCACGATACAAGCCAGCCCTATCCTGAAATGCTCAAAAGTTATCGTTCTTAACTACAAAAACAGGGGCCCTTTAAACAAACACTATGATGACCTCCTGGCACTCCATGAGTCACTAAAGACACCCTTCTCCTGCATTATTTTTACTGAGCTGGCTTAAACAGGTTACAAATTTATATTCCCACTACAGGATACAAGCAATCCACAACTGCAGGTCATACCCGCGGGGGGGGTACTGCAAACTATTACTTAACCAATATCTTGTATTGCATATTGTTTAGTATGAATTTGGGGAAACTTTTTGTAATTTTACTGTAAGAAAAATCAAGCGCCTATAAAAATCGGTGCCCTTTTACCCGGGTACCCCACACAAAAAAATTTCCAAAATTCAGGAAGAATCTTAAGTCACTATAACAAAAAAGAAAATGAACAAGCCCCCCACCTTTCTTGTGGAGATTAATTTCAACTTGCCCCTACCTGAGGAAGGGCCCCTAAAAAATTGCCCAAGAAGTCTCCCTTCGGATCCAAGCCTGGAGGTGGGTATATTACACCTAGAATTAGTTTTTCTTGACCCTCCACGAACTCTACCCAAACAGACTCTGTTACTGCTCCATCTATTTTTATACCTGTTTTTTTTATGCAACAATTAATATTTTCTCGGACATACAATGCAACTCCTCCCCCCTTCCATTACATCTATCCACATTGAATAACTTAAATCCTGAATATTACACTCAACAGTCATATCCCGATCTTTAAATCATACCA